GGCTCTCGCCCACCCCCCTCTGGGGTGCCCTGAGTGAAAACAGCCTGGTGCTGAGTCCTTATTTCCAATATTAAGGTAATTCTTAAGTAGAATTTATCTTGCTAGTTTTATTATTATTTTGGTTTGGAGGCCATACCTAAGTCTGTTCTCAAGGGCCACACCTGGAGATGCTCAGTGGACCACATACTGTGACAATATTCAAACCATGGTCCTGCCACGGTCATATACAAGGCAAGTGCCTTAGCTTTTGTACTACCTCTCTGGCTCCTTCGACATACTTTGTAAGTACAAAATAATACACAGAGTTGCAATATATAGTGTGTCCAATTATTATCTTTTGTATGTTGTATTTATCAGTTATATGTAAATCAATATTTATAGAGCATTATAAACAAAATCAAGATTTTGTTCCAATTTCATTACTACTTCTTTTCCAGGACACTATATTTCTTTCAGTCATATATCCTTAGTTCTTATTTATCTGTCATTCAATGAACCCTATTTTATTACTTATATCTGTATCTTATGTCTGGCAGATTTCTCCAATCTAAAGATTTTATAATTTCATTGTGTATGTCATTGTTTCCTGACCCATTTTTTCTTTTTAAGCAAGATAACAAATACAACGTCAGTATTATCGATTTCTTGAAGTAGAAAAAAGAGCAAGGGAGCTGGGAACATGGCTCACTAATAGGAAACATGTCTTGTAGGTACAGAGCTCTGGGTTGATCCCCAGCACCTCTTCTCTCCCCTCAAAAAGAACTAAAAATAATTATCAGATTTTGATTAGCCTACAAAAGGAATGGCTGAATACATCCGTATTTATGGTCAATCTAATATTGTCAGACTGGACAATTATACCACTGCTATCATGAATATAGAATTTTGAACAAATTTGCATATTTGTGGCATTTCCCCTGTGTGGGGGAGGTGGCTGGGCCATTCTTGGAAGTGCTCAGGGATGATTCTTTAAGTACCTGGAGGACCATATGTGGTAGCCAGGGCTGAACACGGATAGGATGCTGTGTGAGATAAGTGCTTCACCTACCTCACAGGTGTTTCTCTGGATTTTCCCTATTTTTAAATTTACCTATTGTCCCTCTTATAAAATTGATAAATTGATTTGCAAATTACCGAACTTCAGAGATAGCTTAACACATTTTTATGTATATATGATTTACCATATCTACCACCAAAATCCCAGAAACAAAATTTTAGTTCCTTTCCAATTTGATCTTTTGCTGTTGACTCACTGATGGCAAGGTGGGCAGGGTCAAGGGGTGGCACACCTGGCAGAGCTCAGAGCTTACTCCTGGCTCTGTGCTCATGGATTACTTCTGGCAAGGTCAGCAGACCATGTGGGGTGCGAGGATTAAACACAGGTCAGAAACATATACAATTGCCCTCCCTGCTGTACTACTACTGCTCTGATCCCTGTTGTTGACTCATTTTTATTTATGTTTATAATTCTGTAGTGCTATTTATCACTTTTCTCAAGGTTTGAAGTTTTTTGCTTTTACTGTAGGCAACTTTGTTTTAACATTTCTTATAGTATAGAGGTAACTTCCTTAGTTTTGGTTTACCCAGGAAAGCCTTTATCTTTTGAGTGATAATTTTTTTAGGGCAGAGTATTCTAGAAGGGAAGTTTTTATCTTTTAGAACTGTGGATGTATCTTTCCACTTGCTTAGAAATCTGATTAACTTGAATAGCATGCCTTTGGATGCTACTCCCCCTAAACCCACAGCTTTTGATAAGATTTTATGGTTGACTTTTGATATCATGATATGCCTTCATGCACCTTTTTACATTTAGAAATTTGTGTATATACTCAGTTTCCTACTTAGATTTAGGGAGGTTTTAGCTATTATTGCCTTGAACAGGTACTTTGTTTTAATCTCTCTGCACTTCTTGTGACCATCCATTATCCTTATATCTGGTAGATTTCTCCAATTTAAAGTTCTCTCTTCTCTCTTCTCTCTCTCTCCTCTCTCCTCCGTCCCTCTCTGTCTCTGTCTCTCCCTCCCTCCCTCCTCTTTCCCTATAAGCAAGGAAATGAACATGTATATGGTAACCCTTGGAATACCCATATCAATAAATATTTCTGCATGGGACTATTAGTCTCTATGCTAAAGATGAATATTGTATCTCAAATTCCAACTCATTTCCACATGGATCATTCTTATCTGTAAGCTCCCACTTCAACAGCGAGAAACCTGGCTCCCTGGCTCCTGTCACTGCCCATTTACTTACATAACTGCCCAAACCCAGCATACAGATGGAGTGATATAAAAATTATTGGCCTGTCCCTCAAACAATTTCACCAACTACAGACAGTGCTTATGTGCGATTATTTCATCATTAGCCTCACAGACCCCAGCCCTCTCCTAGGGACTTAGGTCAGCCTTCCCCCACGCCCTCATCAGTAATGCTTCATACATTTTTAATATGATTCTTTTCTCATAGTTCACATTCCATCGGGGGTCTTCTGGCCTCTTAAATGGTCATTTTATCTCTATATCATTATACAAAATAACATTTTATATTTGTCTAAAGGATAGATAATGGAGAGAAGGGACAAAGTCACTCGTGGAACATAAAATTAAAGTATCAATTTAGCAATTTTAAATTTTAATCTCCATACACTCAAAAATAGAAATTTATTGAATTTGTCTATTTTTAAAATGCAGTAAAATCTTTATGAACAGAAAAGAGCATGGCAAAAATGCAAAGAAATGTTGCTACCTTTCACAATTTACACATAGAGTAGTCTGGGAAATTCTAATAACTTTATCAATTTTTCTACTTGTAAAATCAAAATTAAAAAAAGCTTTCATCCAGTGGCATGAATGATAATATAGCAGGTAAGGCTGTATTATTATTCATGCCTCACTCATAGACAAGACAGGTCTGATCCCTGGCACCCCGTATGGCTAGGAGTAAGCTCTGAGACCCATGGGGCATAGCCCCAAACAACAATAACTACAAAAACTGAAAAGGTTTTCATCCAATTTATGATAGGTATGCCAAGATTACTGTCACTTAGGGGTGAATATAACAAGTGTGGGTTTAAAATATAGCTTTTCTATATTGGATGACATAAGCTTTACCCATTTATAGTTATCACACAGTTGATAACTATTTTTCTTTTACATCTTTTTTCTTTTCACAAAATTATGTTCACAAAACCTTTCTAACCATGATTATTGCTATTTGCTCTTTTTTTTAATAAATATTTCTCACTAGCAATCTGGGATTCTTAGGCACTTTAGAGTCATTAAAATATTCAGTTACCAGTATATACCTATATTTATTCTTAAATATCCTGGGAAGCTTAAGAAGATTTTATTCAGGGAAGACTACCTTGAAGTAATAAATTTCCCCTAAAAAAGATAAAAAGGAGAAAAAACATTTTTTAAAATTTCCTTTTGTGTCAATAATTTTTTCTTACCCATTACTCTAGTTCAAAACTGAAATACCTTAGGGTAAAAAAAAGTAACAATTTTCAGTCACAGACAGTATTTTATTTTTTAACGAGAGAGAGAGAGTGTAAAAAAGCATCAAACCCAGGATCTCACACATCTGAGAAATACCACTAAGCTACATCATCAGTAGTCAGACACAGTATTTTGTTAAATCTTATTGAAATCTCTATTTCTAATAATTTTATAAAATTTTGAATATAGAATAAGAACACCTGTTTCTTTCCCTCAAGACCTCCTACGACTACTCCATATATTATTCCATAAGTAAATCACCACACTTTCATTCCCAAGTACATTTGCACGAATCCTGTACTTTCTCAAAGGCTGTCTCTAGACTCAAGCAGAGATACAATAGGAAGGTAACTCATTTTTGAGCAGGGTGGAAACTGGAGTAAGCTAGAGACCAGAAATAGGATTATTAGAAATTTTTTTTAAAAATGCTTTAAATAAAAATAAAAAACTTATTTGAAGGGTGGGCTGGAGAGGAAATTTACTGAAACCATTGCCTACATTAAGGGAGTCCAGCACTATCTAAAACCAGATCAACATTCCTCTAGTCATATTGTAATAATTATTATACTGACTTGTAATCACTAGTGTAAAGAAATAAAACAAAAATAAATTCTGAACAAGTACTGTAGGAAGGTCAAGAAGGAAAAAACGAAGGGCTACCTAAATATATTCCTCAAAATCGATGACTGATCAATTCCTTCTCCCCACACTGTAAACAAAGGGTCTCCCTGGCATCAAATACCAAGAATCACAACCAAGAAACGCAAATGAAAAGTCTCAGCAAGCGTGACTGTCACGTTTGTCAAAAACAGATCTTTCTAGACCTTTGGGGACTCTGTTCACATTCTATGACAGCTGACAAAGCCCAGGGAAACAGGACTGCCAAGAGGCATGCACGGTAAGAAAGGCACAACGCAGGGCCTGCTTTATTTGGAAGCACTTGCAGCCCAATTTGCAGTAGTATATTCCTTCCCATGGGGAATATGAAGGAGCTCTCAGAAAGTCTTCACTCAAAGACACCGATGCTTCCCTTCTACAGCACTGAAAGCCATCAGCAGAGCTCTCACCAGGATCACTCCCTGTGATGGTCAGAGGCAGGGATTCAAATCCAGAGCTCCCATATTCAAAGCATGGACTTCAGTCTGTTTGACCATCTATTACCTGTATAGTTCTTAAAAAATCAGGGCCATTCCCAGAATTGCTAGTGGACCACCAGGCCATACCCAGTCTCAGGATTTAATCATTAGGTCGCCTTCTCAATCTCCAAAATTAGAAACAGTCTTAAAAAGGTAATCTTTCAACATGAAGTAATCCTAATAGTTCAGCATTTCTGGGAGTCTACTTTCTTCACAGCACTAAATATCATAAGTTGCCTGATGGACCTATCTAGGCCACCTGGGAGGAGTGCCCTTAAGTGACTGGTCTCCTGTGTTAAAGGATCCCTCCAAAACTCCCAGTGCAGGAGTTGAATGGAGAGGGGGATGGAGACGGCCAGAATAACCTACCTGCCACTCTGATCTGAGGCCCACATCACTGACTGCCCATGGGGCTTGGTGCTGTACTGTATCCTTACGGCATGAGGGAAGTCGGTGGCTGTCTGAGCCCCTGTCTTCCTGATCTGTAAACTCCAAGCATCAGTGTCAAACAGGAGTTCCCCACAGCCAGGAGCCTGGCTGCAGCGAGCAAAATAGTCTAACTGCTCCCTCCAATGAGCTGCAGGCAGGGTCACAAGTTCATGCACAATCTGATTCCTAAATTCCTTGGAATCAATCGGGAACTTGTGAGAACTTATCAATTTTTCAATGCCTGGCACAGCAGCAACATCCACCTCCTCAACCTTTAACACAGATAAATCACAGCAGTCCAACAGTAGCAAAAAATCTTCACTCCCATGATTCCCTCTGTCACAACAGTGCTTTGGGCTAGAAGTCCCAGAAGTCTGTTCCTGGTTGTCATGGTTACCATCTTTATCAGAAGTATCTTTTTCACCCCTACCAGAGAATACAAAATCATTACATTCGGTTTCAGATAAGAGGGTCCTTGTATTTGTCACAGGAATAGGAGAAGGCTCAGGCTTCTTAAATTTGAAGGCTTCTTCTGACTCTGATGGGAAGATTCCCACACTGGAACCACTATGCTTCTTGAATCTGTTTTCTGATTCAAAGAAAAGCACTATGGTGCCCGCAATGAGTTGTCTTTCAAAATCTACATCTAAATCAAGTACATAGTGCTTCACAAGTATGTCACTGGTGTTGGCCATGAGAGGCAGGTCATCTCGGGAGGGGTCCAGCTTCATGTCCATAATGTGGTTGATGGCTGAAGAGCTTTGTTAGAATCTCAGAAGGGGCTTCTTATCTGCCTTAATCTTCCAGAATCATAAATGGCTGAGGATGACAAGATATCTGATGTCACATTTTATGGTTCCACAACCTTAAGGCCTCTAGAAAAGAAGAAAAATAAAATTAGACAAAATCCCAAATAAGATCTTAGCTATACATTCCTACACCCTTTTTCTGACTCCTTAAATATCTGTCAGCGTGGCAGAAGCTCATGGCTAGAAGGCAGACAAATCTTTTTGAGTGACACTGAAGAAAGCTGCATTATACGTTTCTAAAAATATTTCCGTTTCCATTGGAATGAAAGGGCCTCCACAAAGCCAAAAGAATTTTGTTCTAACTAGAACAGTTATTGTTTTGGAAAAAAAGCGATTGTTATGTAAAAAGGCAAGTGTGCATCCCTGTGCCTCTTGTTTTAAGATACATTAAATCTATTATTTCTAATTTTGTGCACCAAAAGATAAGTGACTGTTTCTCTGCTGTGATTTTAAGTAACAAATGTGAATAAAGTCTAAATGGCCTCATACATTTTATTCTTTGATAACAATAATTTAATACATACAATGTAACTCCAGGGATTAATGTACTTTTCACATTAGGACTGCTCTCATAGCAGCACTTCCAGTAAATTACAGGAAAATGAGCCAATTTACCAGGAGTGCATTCTAAGTATTCCTTTGAGATTGTTCACAGAGATTTTTCAAATTTATAGTTAAATACTCAAGGTATATCATTACATCTTAATAGCTGAAAACCCATTAACATTCCGGATAATAGCTTTCTTGTGGCAAACAAAAGTCTTCTCATTTGAAGTGAAAAAAAAAAAAAAGCATGTAAATACCTATAAAAGGAAGAAGAGAAATAAAATGCAAAAACAGATGTTGTAATAAAATGCCAAATTCTTCATTAAAGCTCAGAATCACTATGTATTCCTACTTTATAATACTTCAACCAAAATAAAATTATTTAAAATTATTTTTGCCCCAAGTGGACCTAATTTCATTCAGCATATGCCTTATTATATCATAATATATTTAGTATGTTTTATTATATTTATTTTTAAATTTGCCAAGATTTTTATTTTTAAACTATACTTTTACTATTACATCATTAATTATTATAGTATTTTTAATTTAAAAGTAGATTATACTAAAAGTGAAAAAGAAAAGGTGGGTAGAAAAAAAATTTTTTCTTTGGTTTTTGGCCCACACCTGGAAGTGTCTGGGTTTACTACTGACTTTGGATTCAGGTCATTCTTGGTAATACCGACAATGTAACAAAGGTTGGTGGCATGCAAGACAAGTGCATAAACACTGATACGATCTCTGCAGTCCCAGTAGATATATTTCTTAATCTCTAAATATTAGGGTGGTGGTCGGGGGGGAGGGGTTGTTTGTTCACCACAGCTGGCAGTTCTCAGGGCTCACTTGTGACTCTGCGACTGCATTCTGGGATCACTTCTGGCAGTGCTCAGGGGACCATATGGGGAAAAACCCGGTCAGGCACATCCAAGAGAAGTTCCCTACCCACCATACTATCTCTCCACCCCCACCCCCCCACCGCCCGAGGCATTTTTAAAGTCCAATTCAATTACTTGACTTTTCAAGCAAATTGAAGTTTTACTCAATTTATCTCTTTTCCTACTTCTGTTCTGACTCTACCAACTAGATTCTTATTTCACTTATTGCTAGAATATCATTCCATTCCATTTTCATTTACTCTTTCTCCACAGGCTCATCCACCTCTCACCTGACCGAAAGCCTGACTTGCTACAGCCTTGTGAAGTACTGGCTTAAAGACCATGCCCCGTTCACATACTCATCTCCAGCTGAAAGCCTCCTTCCTCTGCCTTGCTCCCCAAACATGATTTGGACTATGCCTCCCTGTGTCTGAGACCCTGCCAACTCCCAGACTCTCATCTCTAACATTCACTTGCAAAATTCTGATCTTCATCCATACTAATTCAGGTACCAATGTCTCCAGGAAACCTTTCCTTCTCCCTGTTCCCCAATATATACCTTACTTTTAAGTGTATTAGGAACTGAGAGAAAGCAGGGCGGCAAAGAAAGGAGGTAAAGTAGGGAGATAAAGTAATCTGAGATTATTTTATGGACAACATATCTTCATATGTTGTCAATTAGCAAAAAGGAATAGTCCAGGCTATTCTGTTTTTGGCATGAGTGTCTGAATATGCCCTGTGGTATACAATAAACTTCATTAATATGCATGTAATAAGCTAGAAGGATGTTAAAATTCTGTCCTGTAGATGCTAGAATGCATTATTTTTTTTGGCTGGACTCTAATAACCAAAGCTGTCAAGGCACAAGGAGAGGTGCTCCAGGATCATTTCCTGTGATGGTCAGAAGACCATTCAGAGGCAGGGATTCAAATCCAGGGCTCCTATATTCAAAGCATGGACTTCAGTCTGTTATACCATTTTTATATTTCTTAAAAAATCAGGACCACTCTCAGTATTGCTAGTGGACCACTAGGCCATACCCAGTGGGGCTTTGATATTGGCTGAACTCTTTAAAAAGTTTAACTAAAAACAGAAACAAAACCCTTAATACACAGAGACAAGAGGAAAATCTGAATCAACAAAGACAGAGTTAATGTAGTGACTCTATACTATGCTATTTGAAGAACAATTTAGCATTTTTAAAAATACATATATGACCATTTGTTGTCCAACTTTAGCAGATTTCCTTAAAATTTATAAGAATAAAATTGGGGCTGGGGCGATAGGACAGCAGGTAGGGCATTTGCCTTGCACATAGCTGACCTAGGTTCAATTCCCAGCATCCCACATGGTGCCCTGAGCACCAGCAACAGTAATTCCTGAGTGAAAAGCCAAGATTAACCCCTGAGAATCACAGGGTACCCAAAAAGCAAATAAATAAATAAATAAATAAATAAATTCTATAGAGCAGTTTTCACCACTTTGCCCCAGGTGGCAGAAAATGAGCCCCACAGAGCCTTCCCCATCAAAGCAAGCTTCCATGATAGCTGACCGCTGTCAAGAGCTATCCTTTGGTCTTCAGCATATTCTTAAACACACTCAAATAGAGACATGTCTTGTGTTTTCCATCTTTCTATTTTCCAATTCTATGCCTGCTATCTTAATTCTCTGATGATTATTTGTCCTCTGTACTGAGATGATTTTTGAAATTCTGAAACTCCATCATATCCCCAAGTATTTAAATATCTGGAGTTCATCAAAACTACCACCATCTCCTGTTTTATCCCTCTAACCAAAATTGATTCCTTCCCTCCCGAATCCCTGGTTTTGAGGGTCCAAGAAAGGCAAATGAATAGTAATCATTTCGTCTATCCCAATTCTGAACATAGAAAATTAAAATGAGGATATCTTGATTTATTTTCTATGTTTCTATCTTATTTTCTATGTTCAGAATTCGAATGATACCAAAGTGAAGACTGAAAGATAACCTTTATTATTGATGAAGGATAAATTGAAGAACAGTGTGAGAATCAAAAGTACCTGAAAACCCAATTCCAAAGTTAGGCATAGAGTCACAAAGGCTATGCTAGATCAGGTTCAAGTTCCCAAAATAGAAGGTACTATCCCCAAATGAGAATTAAGGCCTAGAGGAATAAGATTATTGAGTAAAGCACAGCCAGCTTCTGCTTCTCCTATATTTACCAAAATAAGTCACTCCATTTCCCCTAGGGTAGAAGTGAAGTTGTTTTGGTTTGGGTTTGGGGATTGTTGTGTCGTTTATTTTAAGGTTTTTGGGGAGCCACACCCAGCAGTGCTCAAGACTTAGCCATAGTGTGGCACTCAGGGATGACTCCTGGTGGGGCGCAGGGAAATACACAGAAACAAAACCCAGGTTGGCCAAGTGCAAGCTAAGCGTGGGTAGAAGTAAAGTGATGAGTAGTTTTTAAGAAATTCCACTGTCCCTGGTATACCCCCCTTTCCCACCCTCCCCCCGCCTCCATGGCAGACAATATACCCCATACTCTCTCTACTTTCGGGCATTATGGTTTGCAATACAGACCCTGAGAGGTTATCATGTTTGGTCCTTTATCTACTTTCTGCACACATCTCCCATCCCGACCAGTTCCTCAAGCCATAATTTTCTTAGTGATCCCTTCTCTATTCCAGCTGCCTTCTCCCCTTTGCTCATGAGGCAAGCTTCCAGCTATGGAGCAATCTTCCTGTCCCATATATCTATTATCCGTCCCATGTATCTACTATCCTGAGGTGTCAGCTTCATGTAACCCAAACATGGAAGCTTGTAACTATCTCATGGTGATTCAATAGAATTCAAAAAAAAAGAAAGAAAGAAAGAAAGAAAGAAAGAGAAAAGAAAAGAAGAGGAAAGAAAAGAAAAGAAAAGAAAAGAAAAGAAAAGAAAAAAGAAATTCCACTTTCTCATAAGAAGGGTCAGGCTCCGGGAATACCAAACACTAGGTGGCAGCATTGGTATAATGTCCACAGGATTAAATAAATGAGGAATTGGCCCAGTAAACCTGAAACAGGCCACTCTTAGCAGTAGATTCATAGCAACATAGACTGGTACAAACAAAAGTGGGGAGCATACTTGGCTACCCAGGCCTGCAAAAATCAAAACTTCATCCTTAGTACACACTAACACCAGACATAATTCTCCTGCGCTGTCACTGTCCTCCTATTTTATGTTCATCTATTTGCTCGAGCGGGTCCAGCAATATTGTGAGATTTGTTACTGTGTTTGGCATATTGAATACATCACGGGTAGCTTGCCAGGCTTTGCCGTGCGAGCGAGATACTCTCGGTAGCTTACTGGGCTCTCCGAGAGGGGCGGCGGAATCGAACTCGGGCGATCGTGTTGGCCGTGTGTAAGGTAAATGCCCTAAACAAAAACAAGATGAAGAAAAACAAAAGTAACAGATTCAAGAAAAACTGAGAAAACAAATGATGAGCTCAAGAGAGGCTACATTATAAGAAGAAAGAATGGGAAAAAAAGCATTGGTGGAAAAATTTTAATAAGAACTTCCTCTATGAATGGTCTATCTTAGACCCCATGTCAAGGAGTTCAAAGATGGTAATAAATAAATAAACAAAACAGAAAAACACAAATGCACATTACAAATAAATAGC